AGATATTGTTGATTTTCCCATGTTTATTTTACATGCATATGAATCATTTGATGAAATGCTTGAATGAAATTGTTTCAACTTATGATTTTCCCATGTTTATTTTACATGCATATGAACCATTTGATGAAATGCTTGAATGAAATTGTTTCAACTTATGATTTATTTAATTTCTTATCTTGAATTTTTGCAGAGAAAAGAACCTGGGATGATAAAAACTGTTTGTATGTATATTTGTTAATATTCTCTCTTAAAATGTTCAATGTGGATGATAAAATCTGATGTATCCTTTGTTTGGTTGATATAGGTGATTGATAATGACCAATATGCAATCAAGATGAGGGTGATAATGGATGCAGTTTCCATTGTGATTTTTCTGATGTTTATTGCTGCAGTTTTTAAGTTTATTTGGATTGTTGCATTTGTATGCAGATCTGTTAACATCAATTTTTGTAATGTGATCAATATTAGCATATAATTTAAAACAAAGCAATTTTGATTGTTATAATTTGATAGATTTGTCAATATTTATCTTTGATTGTTTAATTTGGATTTTGTATGGTGTTTTTATGATTTTGCAAAAAATAATACAGAAGGGTAAAATGGTCATTTTTATATTTAAGCACAAAAATTCAGAGGGTTTAAACAAACAGCATGTTTAAAATTCAGATCTTAAAAATTCAGACCCTCTTAAATATTTTTTTGGGGTTTTAGTCCAAGCCCCAACTTTTTTGGCTTTGTGGTACTTTTGAGCTAGTTTTATTGTGTTTTTAGTCCCTCTGAATAGTAAAATGACTATAATACCTTTGGAGTATTTATTTTTTATTTTTCTTTCATTTCTTCTTAAATCAAAAACTAATTTATTTATTTTAATAATTAAAATAATAAGAAGGGTCTCTCTCTCTCTCTCTCTCTCTCTCTCTCTCTCTCTCTCTCTCTCTCTCTCTCTCTCTCTCTCTCTCTCTCTCTCTCTCTGCACCTACACCTAAAAAACCCATCTAAAAAATTGGATCTTCATTTATTCAATTAAATCATCTGTTTACAACAGCACAAAAAGAGTTCCCAAAGAGCTTCTTGCAATTCCTCGTTTATTGTCTCTATAGCTGAACAAAAAGATTTTTCCCGGTGTTTCAATTCTTCAAGTTGGTCGTTCATATGTATCAATTTGGTTGTAAATGCTTCATCTATTCTTGAAGGTCAATAAGGTCCATTTCTAACATTCTTACAAATTAAACATGGTCCTGTGTTTTTGGAATTAATCGTTGTTACACCCTCCGGTAACCTCCTAGAAGTGCAACTTTCCTTCAGAAATTATTTGTAGAATGATAAGCTTTCGTTATCCTTTCGTTTACAGGAAACAAGTCCCCAGGATTCCATTTTCGAAATTAGAACAGCTGCAAGTCTCCAGGATTTTCTCTTCTTATAATTGATTTGGGGGTTTGGGAATTTATGAATTTGGTATTCCTGGAATGATTTTGTTGAAGGCGAAGAGAAGGATGGAATTGGTGATTACCTTTCCGATATAGCATAACTAGTTGTGTGTAGATCCAAATTTCTCTTTAAAACTGGGATTTTGCTAGAGAGATTGTTGTTGGCGAGGTCTAATTTTTTAAGATCAGGAAGAGCGGTTAGCTCTTCGGGAATCGTTCTAGTGAGACTGTTGTTAGCAAGGACGTGTCTTTGGGTGGCGGTAGTTAAGTTATGGCGGAGGTTGAAATGATATTGGCAAAATCGAGAAGATCATAGCTTTGATGAATGGCGGCAATCCATCTTTGGTGGGTGTCTAACTATGGTGGACGACGACGATCCATAAGTGAAGTTTGCAGATTAAGGTTTGTTTTGGAGAGCTTATCAGACATGAATTTGGAGATTGGGGAAGTTTGAAAGAGTTAAGATTGAGGATGAATGAGTTCATCTGAAGCCTCCAAATGATCCTAATAGATCTGTGTGTTTGTGTGTGAAAAGAGAGAGAGAGAGAGAGAGAGAGAGAGAAGAGAGAGAGAGAGAAAGAAAGAATGGGGTGTGGGCCCCATTTTATTATCAATAAAACATTAAATTAAACAGAAAAAATATAAAAAATATATGAAGAGGGCAATTTAGTCATTTCAATTTTCGGAGGGACCATTTTCACATACAAACTAGTCCAAAAGGACCACCAATCCATAAGTCGGGGTTTGGACTAAAACCCCAAAAAAATGCATACCACATGGACCATTTTTGCAATTTTGTCTTTTAACTTTTTCCATTTTAGATAGGGATGAGCAAAAACCGAACCGATAAAAGAAAAACCGCAATAAACCGCAACCAAAAAATCGAAACCGATGCAAAAACCGATGGTGCAGATTTATTTTTTTGAAAAACCGAATTTATTGGTGCGGTGCGGTTTTTATCTAGAAACCAGACCACCAAAACCGAACCGCGCCGCAAGCTTATTAACATTAAAATAAATCACTAATTTATATTATACAATTATACATATTATTTAAAAAACTAATAAATTATAATTTATACATATATTATATATTGAATTTTACAGTAATTAATAATTAGGTATTAGATTTAATATGTGAGTTTGTCACTTTGTGTTTGTGACTTAATGATTATGTGTAAAGTGTAAACACTATGTGGGTTACAACTTGCAAGCTTGTAAACTCTAAGCGCAAATTGAATAAAAAAAATGAGCTTGGGAATATGGGTTGCAGATGAAGTGATCAAGTAAACAACATAAAAAAAACTCAAAATTACAGCTTCTAAATGTGAGGAGACGAAATGACACCATGTCATACAATTATAAATCTTCACATGAACATCACGGTTAAAAAAATCGTACCGGTAAACATAAAAAAACCGCACAATATGTTTGACTCGGTTTAAAACCGACACCAAACCGGTACAAACCGAAACCGCATTCAAAAACCGCAAAACCGAACCATTGAAAAACCGCACCCAACGGTTTCTAGAATTCAAAAACCGCACATTGCGGTTTGCGGTTCAGTTTGGCCCTAAAACCGCACCAAACCGCACCATGCTCACCTCTAATTTTAGATGTGATTTTTTTTATGTACCTTATAAGTTTAGAAAAGATTTTTTTTGGTAACCATCTAAATCTCTTATCCCCTAATACATCCGAATATATTTGTGGAAAATTAAGATTGTAACAAATTTTCAAGTTTTGTTTTATGATAGATCATAGCCGTCCATTTAATTTTATCAAAGAGTGTCCATATGAAAAACAATATATACTTTATAAAAAAATTCCAAAATTAGATGTGTACATGTACAACCTTAATTAAAAGGGAAAAAGGTAATGAATTTTAAAAAATATACAAAAAAAGACCATTGTTTTTTTTTATTACACAAAATACCATTAAAGTATATTTTTTATACACAAAATACCAATGAAGTACACATGTGTTCAAATAAACCTTGTGGGTAACCGGTTACGGCAGGTAACGAAAAAATGTATTAAAAAGGTAATAAAGTTTCAAAAATGTTCAAAAAATATCATTATTTTTTTAGTATAAAAAAATACCATTGAAATTTCCAAAATGTTAAAAAAAATCATTGTTGTTTTTTCAGAGCACCTTTTGTTAACTTCGTTGTTTCCGGATTATATAGAACACAGTCATCAGAGATTAGTCACCGTCGTACCAGTTCACATCAGTTGTGTACTATCTTTCATTCCATCACTCGATCAGTTTGTATCTAAATCCATATTTATGAATTCTCATGACATAACGTCACACTCGTTTCCCTAATATGTGCATCTATATAACGTATATATGTTTTAGGTTTAAGGCATATAATGTGATGGGGAAGCAAGAATGTTTAACTAATGTTATTACCCACTTACTTCTCTTGTTACCATAAGAACGATCGAGTGAAGGAATGAAAGAGATTTGCACAATTGTTGTGAACTGATATGACGGTTCATGATCTCCAGTGATTGTGTTCTACATAATCCGACAACAACACAATTAACAAAAAATGTGGTATTTTTTAAACATTTTGGAAACTTCGTTACACTTTTAAGTCATTTTTTCATTTACTTCGTTGGTATTCTGTATACAAATAGTAACATTAATGGTATCTTTTGTACTAAAAAAACAACAATGGTATCTTTTGTATTAAAAAAACAACAATGGTATTTTTTGAACATTTGAAAACCGGGTAACCTACAATAGCCGGTAAAATGGTATTTTGTGTACTAAAAAAAACAATGGTCTTTTTTGTACATTTTTGAAACTTCGTTACATTTTTAAGTCATTTTCTCTAATTAAAATGTAGCTTGGCCTACAGATGGTGAAATGGGTGGATATGAGTGTTTTCTAAGAACAACACCTTCAAGATCTATTGTTTGCATCTACACAAAGATATATTATAGGCATTTGTTTTATCGCCTATATGTGCTTGAACATTATTTTTATTTGCGCCATTGGATGTCCTCACTCGTAATCGAATGCCCTACCTTCATGTTGTGACAAGATTGCTCATCTTTCCCCTTATACCCCCATTGATATAGGTTTCGATGATGTTCGAGTTTTGGAAGTTTTGAAAGAGAATCACCAATTCTTGAGTGGTTTTTTTTATAATAGAAAATTAGAAATGGTCAACTCACATCCACTAATAATGCTAGACCACATACGTTTTTGATTCTTGAGTGGATTAGTTGTGAAAGGATTTGGAATAAAACACTCCAATGAAGTTGCCTCCAATTCCAATTCCCTTCATTTGGGGATGCTATGTCCGATCCATGTGGTGTGCATGGTATTATATGGGTCCGAGGTTTCCTTATCATCCAAGAAAAATGAGGACAATTATTCTAAAATAAAGATAAAGATGTGAAAATATCAAACTTATCTAATAATCACGTCACATTTAAGACCAAATTGCCATAAAAACACTCTGGAATCTAGCATAGCTAATCTCTTATGAAACCAAAAAAGTATCAATTTTACAACAATTTCACACTTGTTGAATTCTTATTTTCAGACTTGAACATAGCCTTCTTACCTTTCTTCTATGATTGTGTGTAATAGCAATGTATTTTACTCCAACTAGAACCCAACATAATGAGTGTATTCCGTATAAGCTTCACCTGGTGTCTGTTTACCAATCGGTGCCCTTGTGACATGATCAGGCAAATCAAATGCATCCACAAGTTCTTTCGCGACATTCTTCACCTGAAAACTCAAATAATCCGCTAGCTTGTGTATCGCCTACAAAAATACATGATTTATATTATTATAGGTAACAACTGAAAACAAAATTTCTTATATTGATTAAAAAAAAAATTAAGGGTTATTTATTAGTTATTACTAATTACTAATTACCTTGGCTTTGTTAGGGGCGACATAGTCCACATTGCGATAAGTTCCTATATCATTCCATATGCGATTCAAGGCATAAAGATCACAAACAAGCTTCAAAGCAGCCCTAGAATTTGCATCTGGACACCTGAATTAGATAAGAAAAAAAAAACACCTTAATCCTTAGATCACCAATTAATATATGAGAGAGAAAAAGTTAATTCACCTTTTAATTGCTTCAATGAAATTTTCAAGGATGACAGTTTCAATGTGGGACTCTGCAAGAGTCAAAAGATGATTTAAACATCGATTCCAAGCACCAAAACTTCCAAGAGTCTTTGAATGCTTCCGTAATCGGACTGCAGCACTTTGAAGCAACCGAGATGTTCGATACTAAAAACATTATTGATGTTAATATATATTTAGTTTAAAATAAATTTCACAATAATTAGAAACAGAATCTAATTTAAAAATGCTAAGAAAAATAAAAGAATTATTACCCTGAAAGCATCCAATTGGAATTTAGGATCTCTTAAATGGTCTTCACCTTCCCACCTAGCAGTGACTGGATTGGGTTGAGAAAGATACGTGTTCATCGACTCTCTCAAGTAGTTCCATGTAACAGCAAGGGTCCCACCACTGAACTTCTGTTGATATTGCTTCAATAGATCACCCGCCACCTGTGTAAATCCATTTACTTTGTGTCACATGGAGAACTAATTGAGAGAGTCGATGGATTTAAAAAAACCAAACCTGCTGTAAGAGCACTGTGTTATCCCCTTCAAACGTTTGAAAAATATCATGATCATTCCTCAAGCTCCCAAACCGATTAACAGCTGCATATCCATGGCCTCCACAAGCTTCTCTACAAATACTCAACGACTTAGCAGTATAAGAAGTTATATAAGATTTAAGCCCAGCTGATAATGCATGAACATCCGCAATCAATTGTTCATCGTGGGTCTTCTTCATCTGCGCATACTTTTCAACCAAATTCACAGTAGCAAAATGAAACGCATAAGTCGAGGCCAACATCGGCATCAATTTGTGTTGCTGCGATTGGTAATCAAGAATGCTAATTTCAGGTTTTTTTGGAGGCCCAAATTGTTGCCTGAGTAACGAGTATCGGATCGCAATTGTGGCAGCGATTTTGAGCACACCGACGGATGAATAAGCGAGCCCTACACGGCCACCGACAAGCTCGCCGAGCGTGGCGGCGAAACGTTTATTAACGGTGGGAAGAGGACTCGTGTACGTCCCGTCTCTTGACACATCGCCGAATCGATTTAGAAGATTATCTCTCGGGATTCTGACATCGCGAAATCTTAAGGCGCCGTTATCGACGCCGTTGAGACCGACTTTATGGCCGCAATCGTTGATTTCAACGCCGGGGAGTGTTTTATGGGTTTTGAGATCTCGAATTGGTACAATGAAAGCGTGGACACCCATATCGGTAACGACGCCATTAGTGGGTAACATGAGCTTCGCAAAAACGGTGGCGAACTTGCCGTGAACCGCCGCGTTTCCGATCCACCATTTGATGGCTCCGTCGTTTGGTGTGGTGATGATGAATTCATCGGTTATAGGATCGAATGTGGCAATGGTTTGAATGCCTTGAACGTTTGAGCCTTGAAGATAAAGGGGTCAATAGATAACTCGTTAGTTGATGTGTTTGATACGATGGAATAGGAAATGAATGGAAACGATGGAATAGGAAATGAATGGAATGTAATTCCATTCCTGCAAGACACAGATCATGGAATTGTCTATTCCATTCATTTGTTATTTCATTTCATAAGAAATAAACAGAAAAGCATACCATGGTGAAGCTCGGTCATAGCAAAACAGCCAAGATACTCCAGATTGTCGATGCCTTCGAAGTACTTATCACGATGTTTTTTGGTACCCAAATTTAGCACAGATCCTCCCCATAAACTGCAATCAAACAATATCCAAAATTAGATATAACCGGAGTAAATTCCATCTTTTTGGGCTTCGATTTCTAGTTTTCCCCAATTGTTTGATTTCTTTATTGACTTCTTAATGTAAATTACATGAAATCGGATATTTTTGTCAATGGCATTAGCAGCAGAAGCAGATGATTCAGATACAATGGAGACATCAACTGAAACATCATCCTAATCTATAGATTTCATATTCATATTCAAAAAACAATGAAGATAAATTAGTAAATAATCGAAGAACAAGATGGAAATTAGCATCGATTAAGCATCATGTTTCAATCACCATCCGTCATAAATGACGATTAATAGATTAAATTATATATTTCATGAACAAGAATTCTAATCCAGAAACCCAGTTAGTAAATCGACGAGATTAATTTACAGAAATAATGAAGAGTAGAAGAATCACCTGTACTGAACGCCCAATTTGATCCCAAGAGACATATCAACACTCCCGATAGCTTCAATCATTGCAAAATATATCAAAGGATCTTCAACGACATACCTAAAAGGTCTAATCCCAGCTTCTCTAACAAGACCCACAAGTTGTCTCATACAAAGTTCCCGATAATCATCTTTCAAGATCTCAATCGGGGTTTGAAGATCAGGCCTCGAATTAAAATACTCGAAAATCTTTTCTTGAACATCCCTGTGTTTTCCCCTCAAATAACTAGTCAGTTTTTCAGCGTCTACGTTCATCTTGGTACGCCCAGAACAAGCTTCGAGCTGAAGCTGGTGGTCATGGTGGAGGATTGGCGGATTGAGGTGGAGCGAAAGGAGGCGGATTCTTCGGGTGGTGGACTGATCATCGTCAACATACTCGTTAACGTTGGTGTGATTGGAATTGGATATTGCAGACGACATGATTGATGAAATGCGAGAAAGAGATGGAGATGATGATGATGATGATTGTATATGTGTAGTTGAATCGATGAAATTGTATTGTATAGAAAAAGATCGAAAGTATGGGGGTTTTGGATAATCGGTTATTATTTGAAAAATGTCAACTGGTCGACGTATGGACACACTCTAAATCCTAATCCTCCTCCCTCTTCTTTTAACACCAAAATGATTGAGTTAATGACTATTTCCTAATCGCTTTTGACAACGTTTCATAAATAGTCATTATAATTTTCAAAAATTAACAATTTCTGGATAACATAGAAAAACGTTGCACAGTTACATGCATGTTTTTTTTTTTTTTTTTTTTTTTTTTTTTTTTTTTTTTTTTTTGGTGTTGCTACTAAAACACCCTGTTATCATTTTTATAAAAAGTCAACCTATAATCAATTATTTATAATCAATTTTTTCGGAAAACAATGCAATTTTAACCAATAAAAATATTTTAAAAATTAAGTAGGGTGTCCATATGGTAAAAAGGGATGTCTTTTTAGCCAACTTTTTTTTTAGATTATTAACTCTGTTGTTGTTATTACTGTAATAATTATTTCTTAACTTTCTATTTTAGTAAAAAAAAAATAGGATCATTGACTCTGTTCTTATTATTACTGTAATAATTATTTTTTAAATTTCTATTTTAGTCAAAAATAGTTTTAATATGAGAGAGCCATGATTTTAAAATAAAAGGTTTACATGGTAAAGAAGATATTAAAGTATATTTTTATACTAATAACCTAATAAAGATTTTAAATTTGGAGAAACGTTGACAAAAAAAACAGTGATCTAAATGGTAGCTACATCAATCTTTATAAAAATATCAATTCTCAAATCACCATTTCATAATAATCCATTAAAATGCTAATACTACGTATTCTAAAATCTAATAGATTTTCTACTTTTAAACTTTAATTGGTTTCATGTTACAATTTCTCAATGATCAATTTTTTTATAATAAGTTATTTTTTAAATAACTAAATTTATAATTAGTGAATTAATTTAACACTTTTAACATATACGACTAATATATAGTGATATTAAACTAAAGTATTTGCATCCTGAAATATAAGCTTCAAATTTTAGTTTATTATTTATAAGCTAAATGTGGAATAATGAGTATGTCCTTGTAAAATCACTTATGCTATATGTTAAATTGCTAAAAACCATGATATATTTTTGAATTACAGAATGTTTAAAGAGCCGATTTGTAAGCATAACGGATGTAGATGGGCTTTAAATAGGTTGTCTTTATCCTTGGTACAAAATAGCAACATTACAATAAAAACTAGTAGGGATTCGAGGGGCGCACCAACGACTATCCCTATAATTATTATATATATATTAAAGTTGTGGAATAAAGGAATAGTAAATTTGGGATACTTTGTTCAAGTTTGGTCCTTTGATTTACATATTCGGTCTCTGTACTTCTTTAATTAATTTATTCATGTCCCTGTATTATTGTTGGAAGTTAGGAATACTAAATTTGGATGTTTTTGGCAACTTTGGTCATTATTCTTTACCCATTTTGACACTTTTGGTCCTTGCAATCAATATTTTTACACTTTTTTGGAACATTTTAATATTTAAGTTTGGCCACAAAACTTTAACGGTTTGACAACTTTGATCCCTTTTCTAAAAAGTTGTTAATTCCTACCCCTTTAATTCTTTAGCCATTTTCACACTTTTGGTCCTTGCTGTCAAAACTTTTACATTTTTTGTCCGGGACAAAGCCCGGACTTTTCATCCTTGCACTTTCTATGTCTGTCATATTTATCAATTCGGAAACAACATTGAAAGCTTCTGGCCCCCGCGTAGCGGGGGTAACCTTTCTAGTGAAAATGAAAATTTTCAATATTGTATTTAATATTTGACTAATTTAATAGTTGTCAATTAGATTTTGTTAATGATATATTTTTTGTTAATGATATATTTTATATGAGCTATTTTTTAATCTTTAAGTTAAGTATTTAAAAAAATTATTTTTTATATGAAATGAATATATATGAGCTATTTTTTAATCTTTTCATCCTTGCACTTTCTATGTCTGTCATATTTATCAATTCGGAAACAACATTGAAAGCTTCTGGCTCCCGCATAGCGGATGTAACCTTTCTAGTGAAAATGAAAATTTTCAATATTGTATTTAATATTTGACTAATTTAATAGTTGTCAATTAGATTTTGTTAATGATATATTTTTTGTTAATGATATATTTTATATGAGCTATTTTTTAATCTTTAAGTTAAGTATTTAAAAAAATCATTTTTTATATGAAATGAATAATATAATATCATTATTCTCAGATAATTAACATTTATAATATGATTAAAGTGAAAAGACAATTTATTGTACCTATTTGAGTTCCTTCATGTATATAAAACATTTAGGCATTTAGCCCCAATATTATAAATTGGTATGGTTGAAGTAAAAACATTTTAGACCTGTTATAAAATGATATAAATAAGCACGTGTCTTTATCAAATTGACATGAACCGGAGAGATAACGTAGAATAGTTCGGCACGCCTTTCAATGCAGGATTAGGACGCCACGCCACATGTGGATTCAGAATGTACCCCTCTACTTTACTTATTTATCTAGTACTCCTTCTACTTTTATGATTAGCAAACGTCAATTTAGTTATGGGAATGTTTAGGGTGTTCATTTTAAAGTGTCCATCTAATTTAATCAATGAATTCAATTCATTTTGATTTTTAAAACATAGATCCGAATAGTTTAATTTAAATTCAAATTTGATCTGATTAAACTAATTTAGTTAAAACCTATATAATTTATGCAATTATATATGTTTTATTTGTTTTTCTGTGATTTTTTGTGGTTTAAAGGCAACTATAGGATTACATTTAGTTATATACTAGATATAACCCTGAAACTCGTCACGGGGTTGATCGAGTCGAGATCTTGTATATCTTCTTCGATGCAGCTAGCAAGCCCTGATTTGATTCCTGTTACACTCATAAACGAGAATCGTTAGAGTCGCCTCAGGACTTGCGTCCTGGGAGCGACCTCCGACGATCAAGTTAGTATCGATACGAAAAGTGGGTCGGGTCCTTCGAGTGGAAGGAACCCGATGGTATGTGTGATGAGTATGTAGAGAGAGTTAGAGCATATCATTGGAAGTGTCTTGAGAGGTATATATATAGTGTCGGGAGTACCTTTTTATCTTGGAGAGTAGGTTTAAAGTTGTGCAGCGGGATGGTAAGTATATGAGCTATAACTGATGTGATAGGAGTACCTTTTGTCTTGGGAATGGGCAAACCAGAAATGGTTGAACCATAGGAAAAAGACCGAACCGTCGTGAAATGGCCGAACCATAGCTAAATGACCGAACCATAGGAAAAAAGTCCAAACCATCGCTAAAAGTCCGATGATATATATATATATATATATATATATATATATATATATATATATAGATGTTAATTTATTCATGATTTTAGTTTGAAATTTTATGTTATGAATGCATTCATGGTGAGGGAAGTGTCCAAACATGTCCTGGTAATGAGATGAATGATACATTATTAGGATAGTACCTCCCATTGCGAAGTAGTTGTCGAGGGGTATAGACTCCCCAACGGCCACAATGGAATTTGCTTTATCGTAGTTAGTAAGGAGATAGTTGTGAACCGACGAGAGGTATGAACTCCCTATATATGATACAAGCTAGTAGTTAACCAGCGAGGGGTATAGACTCAGTATACGTACAGGTAATCCGGAAAGTTTATGATATCGAATGTTTCATGTTTTGTTAAAGTAATTATGAGGTTATGAAAGTACGTTTCATACTTATGAAGTTTCGTAAGGTTGTAATATTGAATGCTTGCAAAAAGTTAAAGTTCTTATGAAATATTTTGAAAGTATATTTAATATTTTTTTAGTCTAAATCCATTTATCTCCTGAGTCTTTAGACTTAAGTTTTGTTTCTAAATGTGCTATATACTTAAGTTTAGAAGCTAAGGACTAGAAGAGCATTATTAGTGAATGTTTATGGAAGACTTTGCATGGTCTTTGGGTTGTATAATTCTTTCCCTTGTAATATGGTTGTGATATTAGTTTCGCAACACCAAATGTTTATAAACTCTGATAAATATTTGAAAGTTTTAGTAAAATCATATTTTTATCATGAATTAATATCATGATAAATGTGCAATCGTGGTTTTTTAAAAGGTTTTAAAAGTACGCATGTTACAAATAATGTTTTCATTGTTTCTACTGTTATGATTGTTTTCAAACATTTATCCCACAACAGTGAAGGGATGTTTGGTCACTCGGTCTGCTTGGATTTTGGCCTTAGGTGTATGCAGTTTACATACTAATGTTGGTGACCCCAAATTAAGTCATCTTTCATAAGTAATAACCCCATACAACATATTATGTTACTATACTTCCAATTCATAAAGGTACTTCAAATAATTCCTAGTTACTTGATCATGATGTCTTGACATCAATTTATCTTGTCCCACTTTGTTATAAAATAGCAACCTATGTTGGATTTTCATCTATTTCTTGACACATACATGTTTGCATTCTGTCTATTTACAGCAATAACATAACATGTCTAAGTAAAATTTTAACATTAACTTTACATATAAAACACATTTTCATACTAATTTCTTTCAAATTGTACTATTGTCCTATGACCTTTTTTATATTTTTTTAGTCTTCACTCGTAAACTCACTTTCATATTCTCAAATATTTGTTTTCATAAGTTCTCATAGTCCTTCTATGAGGTTCATAAGTTATTTACACAACTTATTTATTCTCCTTTATCATTAACACTTGAATTTCCTTTTTTGTCCCACTTTATTCTATAATAACAATGTATTTTGTGTTTTTCACCATTTATTGCCTAATTGCTTATCATTTCATATACTTTTTATCCTAATATATATTATAACTTGTCCAAACATAGTTCTTACATTCATATGACATTTAAAGCATAATTTGCTATTATTTACCAATTTTACCGTTTTCATCATTTTCCAAAAACTATGATACTTCCAAACATTTCACAAACTTTAATCATTATCCTTAGAATCACAATTACATTATCGCCGAAATTTTAAGTATGTTATAGGAACCATCTATTTTGGGGTATCTCCGGAGAATTAGAA